GAAATTAATTATCGATGTGAAAAATAATGCTACAATTTCGTTAAAAAAATACATTATCCTAAATCATACGTTATCCTAAAATATATATGAAGAGGCAAAGTTAAAAAAAAGAATGATTTTAGTAAATTAGATATTATGAAGATGTATATTGTAAAATATTTTCTATGAATTGGTAATCTTTCTATGCGATTCATAAAAGTTTTTCTAAAAGTTAAATTTTTAAACAAACTTTATTAATTTAGTATAATACTTTCCATATTTATTTATTGTTTTTATTTAGAAATCTATTAATATTTAAAAAATATTCATTTATTCACCACAAGAAAGTCTTTTTTTTATTATAATTTGATGAATATTGAACAAACAGTTATGAGTTGAGCAGCTAACGAATAATATATTGCTTCGAATATATTTCTGTTGAAATATAAACTGTTATATAAACGATGTATCGCGAATTCAATAAATGCATCATACAATTCTGTGTAAATATCAATTCTTATTTACCACAGAAAAATTGGTAAAATACAAGTTAATATGTACAAAAATATTATTTAATTAACAAAAATCACAAATACTTCAATTTAAAAAAGAAAGACAATGAAAACAAAACAAAAGAAAGGAAAAAAATGAAACAAAAGAGAACTGCATGATTGCGTCTCTGTATCCAACAATAATAACGCAATCTCAATGGCTAATAGTAAGTATAATAGTATTCACATGACTTGCACAATAAATAAATTCTTACACATAAATTCTTATAACGATAATATTGCACGTAAAATGAAAAGGTACTGTATTTCTTAGGGATAATTTTTACTCGCTTTGATATTTCTATAATTATATTAGGAAGTTTAAGATTTAGCGTCTCTAAGATAATTTTCTTTATAATTTGAATTATAATTTTTTGATCATTTCCAATTATTTTAATCTACATACTTTCCTTGAATATCGAATGATCGATATATTTAAATACATTAGTTCATTTATAAAAATAAATATCTACTTATATAGATACTATGACACATTTTATACATTATTCATTATTCATTCACGAGAAATAAAATATTCTATTTATTAAATTGAAATCATATGTTCATAAACGTAGATTAGTGACTTCAACAACGTTATTTTTCTATTTAAACTAGATATTTAAGCAAAATTAAAGTATTAATCTTTTATTAATCTTTTATATTTTTTTAAACTATTAAACTAGTCATTTTTCACTGAAATTTTAATATCAAGCGGAATGATATTAAATAAAAATGAAATAAAATGATATTATGACCTTAAAGACGCCAAAAGTGCAACTACCTGTAATAGAATAAATAATGCCTCGTCATTACAATCCTTCGAAAAACAAGGATAAAAGGAAAATAACGAGACGATCAATCAACTTATTTGAAACTTTTGATAAAACTCGTTTTCCTTTTATATCATTCTAATGTCCCACGTACAACATATATAAGTCATTTTATCGTGCTAGGTTCTTCTGATTTTGAGCATGTGCAAGTTCGAATGCCATGGCACTTTCCTGAAAGTCGATATTTTCGTCTCATCAGGGGATGGAATTTCCTTATCGATCTCAGCTATTGATGCCTCTTCTATCAATCTCAGACCAGTAATACCCGTATCGTAGCTGAACATCCTACGATGTCGTTTGACATCTTGATTAGCGACGTTCCAATTTCTTGTACCCGGATCACTGACCACGCGTCTATGCTTTCTATGATGATGATGATGACGGCGACGATGATGATGATGATGATGGTGACGTTGCATTATATTAGACGATCTTATAACATCTTCTGAATATTGCGGATCTACAGTAGATGTCGCGATACAAGATAAAGAGTTTGGATCAAAATAGAGCCGATTGTCGACGAAAGGAACGAAACTCATCGAATTCGTCATCCATGAATTCGGATTAAATATTTTCTTTGGAGTTCTCTGAATCGTGGTGGACCATTCGTTATCCTGTCGTAAATTAATGGTCACATTTTTGCGACAATAAGAGTCATGCGATCTTGGCTGTAATCTGTGGAAAGTATTTTCAATTATGTCTATAAAATTTCAATTATTTTTTTATGTAAATACCATTACGTACATCATATAAATATGAATAACAAACCTCGAGGAACATAGTAGCATTCTGTGTCGTCAGTTGAGCGGATGCTCTCCTCTTGGCATTCTATAACATTTATTCCACGCCTCTAATAGCAGTACACAGCTATGGAATCGATAAAAAATTAACAAAGGCAACCCGATCCTGGATATGACGCCCCAGGCGAGTACTCCAAAAAATCTCAATTGCAATTCTTGTGAAATCCAATTCTGTGTAACTACAGTATCGAAAGCCCACAGTACAGAATTACTGAATAATAGAAATGTGATCACTTGTCTGGCTGGTTTCGCTATTATTTGGAAACGAGTTATACAAGATCTCTTAGATGCTTCAGCGATCAATGTACTTTGAGCGAAACATTGGATTAATTGTAAAATCGATGCCGTAAGTAGCATAATATGCCTTCCGCGTGTTTCATTGCTTTCATTCTCTAGAATAGCTAAGGAACAGGCAGAAACTACAATCGTGAAAATAGAGTATAACTGAACTCCAAAAAGAGCCACGTTTGATAATAAACTATCTAAGATGGCTGGTGCTCTAATAACAACAGACATTTGACGAACTTGAATAAGTCCACTAGCTGTCATTAAGGTACTCAATGTTAAAATGCTAGTTAGAGTACCGCATGTTAGCCAGGATAAAGTTGATGATGGAAAATGTTGATCTTCTCTTACGACAAGGAATATCAATATTACTACTATGCCCGCGACCATGCATAATATGCCTAAGAATAATCCTTTGCTCGAGCCATCGCATCCAACTTTGGTGTGACTTGTCAAATCTTTGCTGCCATGAAACTTTTGCTTGTGTAATAATCGATTCCGACCGACGTTTTGACCCATTACAAAAGTTACTGCAGCAGCAATTAAACTAAAAATATTGAAAAGAGTATGAAATTTTTTCTCGAATAATTGGTATGCAAATTTCAAATTAAATGTAATATGTTATAATTACATATAAAATTTACCTAAATTGTACAATAAACGGATAAAGAAATGGCATACTCGATGTCCACAATTGTCCAAGAGTATTGGTATTCAAACACTCTTGTAAAGCAATTACTTGTGAAATTTGTTCATCCGAGATAGGTTGATATGGTTGAAAAATTTGTTTTTCTACTGGAGAATGATCTAGAAATGAAAAATAAATAAAAAATAAACTTATATAATCAATTTAGTATCTAAATAACATATATATTTATTTAAAATTTCATAATTTCGATACATATATTTATAATATTTCGCCATTAAAATCATTTTAATATATAAAATAAAACATACTTATCAAATCTCGAGTATGCCTTATCAAAGATTCTGGAAATCCTCGAAGATTCAGTGGGGAAGCTGAATTGTGCAAACCGCGTTGTGCCAAATGAACGAAATAAGTCCATTCTTGAGCAGAATCCCAAATAACTAATCGAAACCAAACAGCAATATTTGTAGCAGCCAAATGGATGAATCCGAATCTCGCTATCAAACCGAATCTTTCTACAAGAACCTAAGAAATATTCCAATCAATTCCATCAATTTTATTAATTCAAATGTTTTTATAATTTTATAACAAAAATAAAATGGTAGTAGAATACTACTCACTTGCGAATTCACAAAAAGAAAATGCATTTGGAGAAATGTAAATAATCCATGAAGTACCGGATGTACGAAGACAACATCGCTCAAGCATTCTGTGCCTTGCATCATGGAATGCATCGCCATTTCTAAACCATTGAAAACAAGAGTCGCCAAACCGAAAACTGTTCAAATATATTCATGTTTCAATTCTGTTTTTTTCTTTCGCTTTCTTCGCTCATATAAGATTATTATAAATTGGAATAACTGAAGAAACTCACGGAGCGCTCCAACTCGAATGTAAAAACTTGTTGAAGCTGTTCTAGATCGCGAGATGTGAGCACGTTTCAAAGATCCGAACCTGGTTAAGGATGTACCACCGAGTTCCGCATCGTCAACACCATTTGCACCGGTACCGAGGCTTCCACAACTGTCTACCAATACCCAAATATAGATGCTGATAATCACTGCTATGCTTCCTACATATAAGTACATCAAAAATATGCCCTACAAATAAAACAATAAAATCAATTTATAAATAAAATAATATAATAAAATAATATAATATTCATTTTCAAATTGTATTAAAAGCAAAAATATTTTATAATAATATTTTATAATATAAATCAAATATTATTTTAATGTATGAGAGTACTTTTTTTAACAGATTTTTTTAATAGATATAAATTCAACTAGTAATGAATCGAAAATCATACTACAACTTAACATGAGCTTGTAAGAAATTGCTTGTAATTGACTTGGAGAACGTGGAACTAGGCCACAAACTGTACTAAGGTCAAAGAATCACATCAAATAACTCGGTAGATAATCTTAGGTTGTAATACCTGACGAAAGTTGAATCAGACTATTAGCTATATACAAGCTAAATTTATTAAAGGCATGAATAATATAATAAATTTTTTTTACAACAGTGAATAGATATTTTTAAGAAAAATTATATAATAAATACGTGACATATAACTGTAGAAATAGATGTATAAAAATTATTAATATTTATGATAAAGATATCTATTAGAAAAATATAATTGTTTTTATTAAGAGTTGAACAGAATTTTTGAAATATAACTAGTATTATCGTTATTTAAACATAAAAAAATATCCTAAACATAAGAAGTCTATAAAGAAAAATTCTTTTAATTAATAATCATAATGTATCTTTATATAATTATATAAACAATTTTATTCTAATTCTTCTACTTATTTGAAATAAATACATAAATAAACTTAAATTATTTACCTGTAAACTGAGCAAAGGTACAGGTGTGTCCATGACTTCGGCTAGGCATAGAGCAATCATCAGTACTACGAGAAGCTGGCCATAAACATTCGAGAGGATGATCCATAACTGAGAACTGTAACACAATCATCATAAAAACCAATCATTAGCTACGCGATCTTTGTTATTCCATTTTCACTGAGAACATGAACTATTTGCATTGATCATAAGTTAATGACAAATAATACTTACAGTGCTTCGTACTAAATCATTCTATTTTCACCGATCTTATGATGAAAAATACCGAAATTGATGAAATTTTATAACATTATCTAATTTGATAATAGTAATTCGAGATAAATGTTAAATATTCTATTTTACATCGATCATAACTGCATCGATTTAATTTACGAAGATTATACTTCAACGAAAATAAGATATAAATATTTATAATATTAGTAAATTAATTTAATTTTTAATCTCAGTTTCAATCCTTCGGTAAAAATCATTAAATACAATTTATGCATAATGATTTAATATTTTGCATATCCTTCGTATAATTTAATTGAAATTTTAATTCATAAAATTAAAAATTTTGTGTTATCGTTTATCTGTTTAATTATACTTATTAAAAATTTCATTTTTGTTTGTTCAAAACTATGCAAGGAAATATACCACGTATAATCGTAATATCTTACAAAGGTTCAGAGTGATCCAATAAATCGTTCGAAGAGTGTGTCCTAGAAAGGATTCTGGAGACTAGAGACTTGGACGGAGCAGATCTCGTTCCTTCTGCAATTGCTGCCTCTGTCTCAGTATTCCTTTCACCCCTATTGGGGACACCGCCAGGTGCACCCTCCACGGTGCCACCTGTTGTACTTCCTGTCTCGTTTAAGCTATCTTTATCGTGTTGTTCATTGCTAACTGAAATATACAAAATGAATGATTGAATATATGAATAATAAATTATAAATTGATATAAATAATTTTTTAAATATTCTTTGCAAAGTTTTGATTATACGAATTTTATTAATCTTATATTTTTTATATATTTCATTATTAATTTTTTTTTCATTTAAAAATTCATTTAAAAATGAATCGAGTTGAAAAATACTAAAGAATATTTTTTAATTAGAATACAAGAAAAAATAAGTATAATAAAAATTAAATAAAGATTAATTTAAAAACAATAGTATATATAAATATAAAGTAGTATAAAATGTACATAATATAAGTGTACATAAGAGAAATTGGATGAAGAATGGTCACAAAATTCAAAGATGCATGAAGAGTGCATCAAATGATTATATAGATTTCAAAAACTTGCTAATGTCAAATCTTTTTTAACTCATATAAATAGACTAGAATATTTTATTTTCTTCGTACAATCCATTAATTAAGAAGATTCGGTAATTAATAAACAAATACTTGTATAAATTAAAATTATATAAAATTTTATATATATATATATAATATAGCCATTGAAATTGAATAATATTGAAAGATTGCTAAATTTTTGAAATAATTTTAAAATATTTTAGAAAAATATGTTTCATATTTAAACATCTTAATTAATATAATTAATTACTAAATATTGAATTTAATAAATAATAAATGCTAAACAATTTTTTTATATTTTTTCTTCAATTTGATAAATTAGATGAAACAATATTTCATGAATCAAAACTGAATTAACATAAGATTCAGTTAGTTTTGAAAGCTTAGGTTATATTATTATATTAAATATTAGAAAATTGAACTTACAGAACATAGTTAATGTTGTATGAATATAGAAAATCAAAATATGATAATTATTTTAAAAATAGAAAGAACAATAACAAATTTGAAAATAATAGAACGAAACTTTAACAAATATTTCGTATTGGAACGAAACAACCATTAGAACATCATTTCAATAAATCTGAACTTAGCTAAATGAACATATATACTCATCCACTTTCAAAAATTAACTTTCTCGAAAATGAAATTGTAAATTATGGAATTGTATATAATTGTATATTGTAGTCTATTAATTTATTCTTTCCGCGAAAGATGTAGTTATAAATGTTTGCGCAAGTTCATATTTGAGAGATTGATAAACAAGTGAAATTTGTTGAATAAAAATAGATATTTATCATCTATTACAATTAATCATATTAATTGGTTATATTAAAATATATTTTGCTTTCAAATATTTTTATATATTGTAATTATTTTTTATATTTGTCATGTACGAATGATCATCATAATAATTGTTACATTATTTCTTATTTCAGATTAAATTTATTTTTAAAAAAAAATTTTTTTTATGATTTTCAAACTTAATTAATTAAAAAGAATTTTAAAGATAAGTTTTTCTATTTTTAAAATTTTTATGTTATATTACATGTATACATTCAAGAAAAACCGTTATTAAGAAATATATATTAATCATTAATAACAATAACAGTTGATCTTTGAATTTGTTTCCGAATTTTATTCGAAAATCCACTAATTAAATCCATTATTTGGCCTTTTGGGTCAGTAGAGTAATACGATTAACTTTCGCTAGAAGAATTCGTACATCCAACTGTTCCTTCGATAATTTTCGACTCGAATGATTTAAAGACACTTTAAATGCGACGAAACGGATCCAAGAGTTGTAAAAATTGATCACTTTCGAATCGATCGAAATCGAAAATTGTAGATGTATTGATATTTGAAAAGAAAATTTTAATGAATTAAAAGTATGATGTAATCTATAATTTTTTAGATTCAAATAACACACATTTAGATTAGAATATATCTGATTAAACTGTTTGAAACTCACATACGTTTAAAATTTAGTTTGAATTTAACACAATACTATAATAAGATAATAAATACAACCAAAATTAATTATCAATTTTTCTTTTCAATGCCAATTTTCAACTGATTCATTACCATATTGCACTTAACACTCTCGAAGTCAAACAATATTCGAGATATATAAATAAATCGATTGAATAGATATTGATATCGATAGGAATCTCGATTGTTCTTAGTATGAAAAACGATTACGATTACATGGTTTTAAGAATTATTCGTAATTTAAATATGATAAATAAACAGTGTCGACTCGTTTTAAACTTTGCAAAAGAGTATTCTATTATTCATAATACGAAATATATTATGTATTTAATTTTAACATAAAATTGATAAATTTTGTCAAGGATAAATTTTTTATTATGGAATGTCCATTTATAAAGTTGAGGTTAAAGGTAAGTACAATATTCAACAATCATTTTATGGAGATTCTCAGCATTAATGAAATTGAAAAGCAGTATACGAACATATGCTTGATAGATATATTGATGGAAGAGGCCAAGAAACGGTACGAAAAGGAAAAATATGCAAGATCGCTTTAGGGTTAAAGATGTCGATAAATCTAAACATTGTATAAGAATTGAGGTTAGGTCTCGATTAGAATAAAAAAAATATGTTTACTTGATTGAAGATAATTTATGCTACTAAATTATGGAAAAATACATGGTGCACTTGAATGTATATTATCAAATAATATAGTCGTAATGAAATATACAAATTTCAAATTTCATCGAACAAATTTATAATTAAAGAAATTTGTAAGTATATTTGTGTTAAATATGTTAAAATATTTTGAAAAATATATCATTTATTCAAATTGCGTTTAATTAATTTATAAATTAACGATTGTCTAAAATAGTTCACATAATTAATTATATTTTATATATTAAAATATGCTAATATCAACAATAAAATGAATATTTAAACATAATTTTAAGAAATTGTAACGATTATCTATTTAATAAAAATGATTTAAATTTAAAAAATTCATTTGACTGAACAATTTTGTTATTAATTAAGCTGTATAATACTAATTTATCGAGATATTTAGAATTTATGATTATGATTATTATTCGTATATTCAAATAGTTGAACATCAAATATTCATATTATATGTACATATACATGTACATGTTTTTCAATATTTTTAATAGCTTTATATCTCTTTGAAACGGTTGCCGATGCTGTATGAAATAAAATGTGAAATTTTATGATTCAGCTATAAAATTGGGTCGATACGCCGCACTGTGAATTTGAGATTTTACGGTTTATCATGAAATACGTTTGTCATTACGATTCCAGAGAGTAAAAAAAATAGAAACTTGTCTGTCAGCTGACAGAAGAAGTCGAGAAATTCATTTGCTTTCTTGTACATCGCAAAAACATAAAATTTTCGAAGTTTTATTTATTTATTATAAATCATAAAATCAATTGAAACCTGTTATTGATAGCATTCAATACCATTTTTTACAAGAAAAGACTAAAGATTCTTTTATATTAATATTTTCATTTAAATATTCGATATAAAAATACTTTTTAATAAATTAATAAATAATACAATAAAATATTTATAATAATGTATTAAATGTATTTATAATAATGTATTATGTATACATAAATTGAAGATATATTTAAACATAAAGATATTGGATTATTTAATTGTGACTAATTAACATATTTAGCAAATGGATAATTTAATCATTATTTAAATGTTTCAGATATAATAAAAACAACAAAAATGAGAAAAATCTTAAAATATAAATTAAGAATCACATGATCATATTCTATCTAACATGGATTTATTATTTTAACATTTTTTATCATAATTTATGCACAATTCGAAAATATAAAAAAAAGAAAACAAAAAAATCTGTTACTTCCATCTTACAGACTTTCATCTGTTGGAAATATTAATAGAAAAAAATTTACCTCGCTTTTGTCAAAAGAAAACAATTGTTATCACTAGGCACTCGAATCATTGTTCATGATAAACGTCAATGAGTGAAAGAGAAGCACAATATGTACCGCGAAAGAAACGACAAAAGAGAAGTGCTTCAGACACAATCACAAAACAGAATGGCTAGTAACTCAGAAATATGGAACCAACAGTATATTGAATGGTCTGGAATACGGTGGTGGTATTCCAATGATGAGGACGAATATTACGCCTATGATGATAATGAAGATGACCACAAAGATGATGATGTCGTTTCTAGTAGCCTCGTTTTTAACAGATCGACAAAAGTGCACTATCAACGTGTAATGGTTTAGCTTATATTGCTATTTATTTTTTACGTTGCTAATAATGAAAACCATAGAATATATGAAATTTTACGTAAAATTGGAAAACAACCTATAATTTAAAAGAAATGTATTATAATAAATAATTTGCAACTTTGTAATACAATTCTGGATAAATAGTAAGTACTGCAACAATCTTTTGAAAACATATTTTTTGTATTTCTTTCTTTTGTTTTATCGTTTTATTGGAGTAGTAATGTACAAGAATTTCCAAGTTTAAAAATTTACATGTATATAAAATATGCAATTAAAAAATCAGGTTTAAGAAGAATCTTCTGTAATTTTGCAAATGCTATCCGCAAATGAACATGCACGACGATCAAACCAAGCAAATCGAAACTGGTTTAGTTCTATCATGATCGAGTTCAAGATAAAAATAGAAAATGATTAAAGATTATCACGTTGCAAGACAGTTTTGCATGCCAATATGCAGGTTATTCGGCGAACCAAGTGCGAGACATCGAGATTAATACGATCACGAATAAGCAATCCTGTTATAATCCAATTAATCGTTTGTCTCCTATAATAATCACGTTGACTTATTGTATCATAATGCACTGTTCGTGTGAAAAAATGTTAAGGGTTAGAAGGAAAGACTTCACTACAACCACCTGTTGTATAAATTATCGGCACTATTTATGATTCATAAACATTCATGTTATATCTTTTTCGATTTTTCAATTGATTATTCTTGATAGATTTTATTAAAAGTATATGGTAGATCTAAGAGATTGATGAGATAAAATTTTTATTATACATTGCTTTAATAATAATTATACATTGCTAATAATAATGCGATTTATAAAAGTTACATGCAAATGATGTAAAGGATTAATTTGAAGTATTAATATACGTATAAAATACGTGTAATAATGCTTAATAATCTGTAGAAAGTTATACAAGATGATATCTAAATAAATTTGTAAAAATTAAATAATTATAGTAAGGTAACTGATCTTCAATATATAGATGTATAGTATTTATGTATTACGTATTTATATTTTCTTTGATCTTAATTAGGCTTTTGTTGAATCAATTATATTGTTTAAAGAAAGCTAAATGTATTAATTAATTCATACAAAAAAGAATTATTAAGAATATTTAATAATCTAAAGAATATTTAATGAATGAAAAGCTTATACTGAATTTTTATAATTATAATATAATATATTATATTATAATATAAAGTAAGTAAAAAATATATTTCTATTGGTCACTATAGGATATTAATAACACTTTCCATATAATTTAAAGCATTAATATTAATAAGGGAAATTTAAAAAGTATTAAATGATATATTATAGATTAAAAATATGAATTTTACAGAAAAAGAACTTATTGGTATTAAAAATGAAGATTTAATGAATTTAACAAAATGATTAGATTAACTTTCCATCAATTTAAAGCGCACTTTTACTTCATGAAAATGACTTATTCATCACAAGTATCTTCATAAAAAATAAAAAACCTGTTTTCTGAACCTTTCACTTGGTCATTCGAAAGTTCAAACTGAAGCAATAAATTTATAGTGAGGTAAGCATGAACTGCATCCCTAAGATATTTCTTTATGAAAATTATTTTAAATAGTATAACAGTTTTAATATAAATCTCTTATTGAATAATTTTAAAGAATTAGAATAAAATTGAGAAATCTACTATTTTCTTCCGGCATATATATTATACATATATATTTTCCAAGATAACAAGAAGTTATGGAAGAGAACTTTTTTATTGCATTTATTTGTCTCATAAAACATCAACCTCCTCAGCTGATCACAATCAATGTGAATTACACGTTCTCTGAAAGAATGCTGATGATAACACTCTTTGCATCGACGTACATGTATTTTTTTTCTTTTTATATTTCAACCATGCGAAACTAATCGCCTCATTTTACGCCGCATAAAACTGAACGCCTTCATGATCGCGGGAAAAATTATGGCTACCGTCTGATTTAATATTCCTATAATTAAGATGTGTTCCTTATACAAAACAAATGAAAGAGAAAAAAAATTAAAATATAAGAGAAAAAAATATTAAAATATTATATGGCGTTTATATAAAAATGTAATAAATAAAATATAACATATCGCACGTTAATATAGAAAGAACGAATATCGATCAAGTGAAACGTGAAATCGTGCCCAAAATTCATTTTCAGCGCTTAACCGGTTTTCTCGGAATGCGAAAGTCCATTCCATTTCCGTGTCTTCGTTTAAAAGATAAAAAAATTATTCATGAAAGTTTGTGTGAACAGAACATATTCATCGGATCGATTTGGTTGCTCTTTACAATAGAACGAATCTGCTTTCACGCGATTTACGATCATCATATGTACGCAAAACGATATGTCGTTAGAAGACGAGCGTTTCAATGCGATTTCGAAGCGAAAAATTACCAGTATACAGGAAAGGACATTTTCCACGAATACCTTTCACCTCGTTTTTCACTCTGCTTTCACGATCTTTTATGTCCTCCGTGCATATTATTACCACGCATTTACATTTTCGATCGTAAATTTTAGTCAAGTTAAAATAAAATTGGAATATTATTTGATCAAATTAAATATGGGAAATTTGATATATTTTAAAAAAAACTTATTATATTTTATTATATTTTATTAGAATCTATAATGAATTGTTTAAATAAATTTAAATAAGTTTAATGTTGGAATTATTCAATTCTTAAAATTTTTAAAATATTAAAATTATTACTCGATTCATCAAATATTATTTAAATAGTAAGAAACATAATCAATTATGAATTATGTTTATTTTATCTTTAATTATATTTATCTACGTTTGCTTAAAACTATTTAAATTCTTAATGGATAGAATTTTTAAAACAAGATAACATATGGAACATTTGGAAGATGCAACATATGGAAGATGAAATGGTATTTATGAGGATACTAACAGAGGAAGTCGAAGAAATTCGTCTTTTAATTCTTCCGAAAGAAAATTTTGTATGGTGTTAACAGCACAGTGTCAAATGTCAAATGTTTAATTGCATTTTGTCACTTAACGGAGATTAATTTTTTCGTTTTTTTTAACAATCAAAAATAAACATGTTCGTTGAAGTTTATTTCTGCTCATCACGAAAACCGTATGGCATTTATTGTAGCTTGTAAAACAGTGCGCATTAAAAAACATAAAAAGACACGTTGAGGGAATATCTTAGATATCCGTGAACGGTAAAAAGCGTTTTTCTTTTTATTTAATAGTTTAATATTACCCATTTTAAAATAATATTTATTTTTATTTATTTTATAAAGTAATATTTTGTTATAAAAATTTAGATTATATAAAAGTTTTAAAATATTTAAAGAAAAGTAGAAAACAAGGAAATAAAAAACAAGATTGTAATTTTATATTTCATTTCCTGGTTTTAAAGAATTTATATTTAATATAATCTTTACTTATTATTTAATTTATTAAAGATTTTATCCAAATATGATAATTTTAAAATTAGAATAATAATAAAATAATTATTAATTATTTTTTCCAGGAAAAGAAGAGGAATTTAATTGAATGAACAAGTAAAATGCATCAATGCATGAACAATAAGTTTCGTGATTTATATTCGGAAATCTCATAAGAAGATGAATTTATTAGTCATGAAAAATACTTTTAAAGATTTCATATACAACATATATAGAAATTATGCATAAAGAAATCTCTACTTTCATGGAAGAAAAATATCAATATCCTATCAAATGCTACAATAATCAAATCTTTTTATTTTCTTTGAAAATCATATAATATATATATATATATATATATATGATATATTTCATAATTATGAAAAATTTTTTATATTTTGATATTATAACATTTGATGAAAAGAATATTTAAGTGTAAAAATATAATTTAAAGAATAATTTAATATTCAACAATGTCCAAAATGAAAACAAGTAAAACGGTACCAAATATTAAAAATTTCATACAGCAACTTATTGTAAGCAGAATATCGTCGACAGCAAGGTATATGACAAGAATTCAAGCGAGAGATTTATCTCCAACCTTTTCCATGAATGTTTTTCTTTTATCTGTAAAGAGCTATGATTCTTTGCAAACTCTCACGTGCAAATGCAATTACACTGTTCCGGTGCTCGAAAGCAATAGGCCAACCATCATGCGCGAGCAAAAGTGGATAACTGTACCAAAGAAGCCGGTTGCAAAAGTTGTCAGGATAAAAACAAGTTTCTTAAGTTGCATTCTCTAACAACGGTAACACAGTAATGTGTAACAAGCTGTCAGAAGGCCAATAACCACAGCGCCATATGTTGGATAAATTGATATAACTTTTGTGATTAATGATATTGGCGATCACATCATGGAAGCGAAGTGGAACGAGAAAGTAAAGGATCGTCAGAAGACAAAACGCGCCTCTGCCCGTGTGTAATATCCAGAGAGTTTGTACAAAAGACGAACATCTTCTCCACTTTCTTTTCCATGAAATGAAATGCGCGACGATCATTCAGGCTCGAGCACCCATTAACGACATACGATAGAGAAATTTGTTCGTCGTGCGAGAAATTTGTCGAGATCCTTGAACTTTGAGATTTAAAATTTTTCCCGTGTTAATATTATTGGATTGTTTGAAATGAAACGAAAAATATTTTCTAAAATTTTTTGTTCCAAATATATAAATATTATACAATTTTTCATTTCAAACTGTAAATAAAAAAAACCGCAATAAATAGATCTTCTAAATTCATGAAAATAAAATTCATCCATCTCAAGAAATAATTGTAATTCTTTGTACATAAATTGTACAAAATTTGTACAAAAATATTGGTTTTGATATCGCATATGATTTATAAATTATTCGTTCATTTTCACATTCTCCATCTTATCCCGATAAATTATCATTCTGTATTCAAAGAAAAAAGAAATATAATATTAAGTAGGAAATCTTGTTTTTTTCAATTTATGTACAAAATAATCTTCATCAAAATTATTCCGTGCAAAAATCTGTATACAATATCGGTATATTTATCCTATAATTATATTTTATTAGTTTATGACTTCTTCATGTGAAAAATTTACCACACTTCATGATCAGAGATCCATGATACTGATTATATGCACTTATACCATAAAAGAGAGGGCAGTATGGCATAAAAACAGCGAAAGTTGAAACAACTATTCATTATAAGTTAGTGATAAAAAATAATGGAATTGTGAGATCCATAAGATTGTGAGAATTGTTCGTCGAGAACGTATCTCTCGAATAAAATCCTCATGGTGAAAACATGATGTTTCGAGGTAAAAATAGATATGCAACATCGAGCAACTTTGATTCTTAAATAGCGATAAAGAAATAATATGTGTTTCGATAAACTTTGTGACAGATTAATTAAAAAAATTTTTGCAGCAATTGAAAAATAAGTGATTGCTAGCTATGTAATGTAAAATTGACAATGTAGATCATGGTATAATCGTATTGTAAGCGATAATTATACAAGTCAGTTAAAAACGTTATAAAATATATGCATATATATATCGTATCGTATCTTTTAACATGAATCATAATTGAAAGAAAAATTCTTCAGTGGATCATTATTCATTTTAGACTATTTTAAATTAATTCGTTAAAAATTGCAAAATAGATCTTAAAATTCAAAAAAATGAAATTCATTCAATCTCAAGAAATAATTGTAACTCTTGAAAATAAAGTAAATTGCCATTAAGCTCCGTACTATCAATTAAAATTTAATCAATTCGAGCTTTATATGCTATTCACATTTTCAACCTAGATCCTATCGAATGTTCTGCCAATTGCAATACCGTTAACTGGTGATACGAATTCAGATATTAGTATCGAAAACATCCTATATCGGTGAATGGATATATCGCTAATAAAGAACACCTTGCACGTATCGAAAAGACGAAGGCGCGTACTCGAGCGATCCTATCTACCGCTAACCGTTCTTTTAGTCGCCGACACGATACCGTACGACGACGAACAAATGACTTGCATACAAATTCATAACGTCTTTTAACAAACGAAACTATGCCGCATATTTAAATGTTACACCGTTTGTACTCGAGCAACCTTCGCAGACGGATCTCTGGCAGACCAGATGCATCTTCCACTCGACGGATCATCGAAAAGATCATTAACGACTTTTCTCTGTTAAAAGTATCGCTGAACAAACGATTCCATTAACAGAACAGAATACGAACTCTCTCACCTTTTTTATCCTTTACCAAAGTGGTAGAAACAGTTGAAGCTTCTTCCGGAATGTCCACAGCCCGTTCCTTTTTGCCAGATACAATCTCATCGATACTTTCCTTGAATTCATCCTCCTTCGACTTGAACTCCTCGTTGTTCTTACTATAATCAATAATAATTTGATCGTCCACTTTCTTCCAATCGGGCAATTCCTTGCTTTCTTCCGTCTCTACAACAAATTCTTCGAGACCAGGGATATTTCGAATATCAGGCACCAGAGTTTCCTCGTCGTCCTCTCTTATTCGCCATTTCGCTCGTTGGTGATGTTCAGTGACCCCGCTATTCCCACTCGCGGCGATTTCACTGACAGAATCGACCACTTCTTCGACCAACTCCTCCTCCTGAAGCATGTACTCTCTTCTTTCGTTCGGATTTTGATAAACTCGATAAGGTCCTACCAGACCGACGATCCCTCGAGGCACGGCCACGGCTCCCTTCCAATCTTCCACCTGGTCAAACTTCCCCAAGTGGTTCGTATACATTTCTTTGAAACTGAAAAGTCGTGGTGGTTCCGGTAATCGTGTCGATGCAACCTGTAACCACCGTCGAAGCTCCTCTTGTCGCGAACAGATCTGTATTTGTCTCTCTCCCGATGATTGTTCTTCGATGGGTTGAAGTTTACTCTCGAGAAAACCTGTATCGGGTAACTGAACCTTCTTGGGTTTCTTTACCACGCTATAAAGAGGATCCTCATCTTCTGCCTCGAGAATCGTCGAGTTTTCATATGTTACTTTATTCACTGTCGGCAGCCAAACATTCTCTCTCTGTTCGATTCGAGCTATTTTCAAATCGTTTCTACTCGTTTTATCACTTTTCACAGCGCTTATCACGACTACGTTACTTTTCTGACCAAATAGTATATTGTTATCGATTGATCTATCGTTGGTATCTAGAACGCTGTAGGTCGGTTCGCGAGTAGCTGTCTGAATCCACTTCGGTCTATTTTTTTGCTTGATAGAAGATATAAACTGCTCCGCTGTTAATCTCTTCCGTTCTGCGTTTGCGACGGGAATGTCAGTCAATTCGGCCACCATGGTCAAGTATTTTGATTACGATCTAGGTGATCAGGCCTACCGGATGTCACGATCAGATCGTGACAAACATATTCGAAGGGTCGATTATCGATCTTGAAAGATCGAAATATTTGGATGCGACCTAAATGTGCCGATATTTCCGGTAATAACACAACTGGTAATAACTGGTATATTTATTAATTTATAAAATAATTATATCTTAATTTTTTGATTTTAAATGATGAGTAAGATCATCTCAGTGATTTAATTTGAAAGTATACAAATTCGAACACTATTTATACATGGGAAAAAAAATTAAATCCATATCATAATTTCAATTATTTAGTTAAATTTCTAAATGATTAATATACACGAATCGACAATTATTTATTTAATATAAATGCAATTTTAATCATTTTAATCCAGAAAATAAGTATCGTACGTAACACTTACACTAAAACTTAAATCACCGATTAAAAAACTGTGTAATTGCAAACCATATGTCAAATCTGTTGAACGAATTTGAATTATATAATTTTTCCAAACTGATTCCACTTTGAACTCGATGGAAATAAAATGTTTGAAACACATATACTGTGTATATATATATATATATATATATACTAATAAATATAATAATACTAATAAAATTTTTATATTTTTGTATTATCGTAAAATATATATATTTCGAAAATCCCGTCAATAAGTGTATTCGATCGACTATAAAAGGTAAATGTCGTTTCTTGGCTTTAGTTTTACCAGAAACAATGTTTCGTCGCGTGGAGGTGGTTGGAGGTTGATCATATGGATTTGGCTCTCGTTCGTGACCAGGATTACGAAAAAGGTTTCACATCCATCGTAGATAGTTTTTACCTTTTCCATTTTCTAGGTTAGGAGATTCTCCTTCAAACGTTGACGCAACATCTCGTTAATCAAATTCCTTGTGTTTATGTATCATTATCAAGATAAAATCACCTCTTTCACCAAAAAATTATTTTAATCAAATGTCTAGAGGAACGAACAACAAGTTCAAAATATTCATTTGTTAAATATAATAAAAAAAAATAATGAAAATATAAAATAAACATAATGAATTATCAATATATCTATGAATTAATCATGAAAAAGGTATAAATACTTCAATTTATTTTAATTTTTTTCGCAAATATGATTCTTTTTTATATTAAAAATTATATTAAAAATTAGAATTAAGAACATAAACTATTTTTTATAAAAATCATATCATTCTATATATATAAATTATTTTCATCAAATCAAATTTTCATCTTATTATGTTTCTTTTTAATTCTGCATTTCAATTTTTATATACAAGCAATTTATATAATCATAAATTTATATAAAACGAAGAAATCTCTATAAGTGCCGAATTAATAGAATATTTTCGTCCTAATTACAATCAAGCCTAACAATTAGTTACGACTACGGCGATTATATTTCCGAGATCTCTTCAATTATAGCGACATACATTAGCGACTACAAGACATAGTGCCTTGTTTTACTACGGAAAAACAACTGTTGTCGTAAGAAAATTGCGAACAGCGAGAAGACCGTTAACTCAAGGACCGATTATCATAAAATGGAAAGATGGATTTATCGCGTGAGAACCATAAGTTTTGAACAACGTGACTGGAAATATCAAGACCTTTTATTCACGGTTTGCGAGAAAGAAAGAGATAAGCCTCGAACAGGTGTTAGAGGTCGAAGCATTTTGCTCGATAATAACTGACTGGCTATACCGATGTTACAACGGCAGATTCTTCCGCGTTTCGCTTTAGGCGAGCATACTTGTTGGTAATAGCTGGACAGTAGTATACCGCTATAAAAATTGATAAACGTCAACCTTTGTAGAAACTCATGTATCATTACTGCAAGCTACTCAGAGCATTCGATAAATTACAATAACTTTAGAACAAAAATATGAAAAATATGAAAAAAACGAATGAAATAAAATAATTTATTTATATATAGATAATTGTAAAATCTATATTATTGTAAATTTTATTAGATAAATATGAGATTTTTTTTTTATAGACAATGTTAATAAAGAGTCTTGGAATTAAAATATATTAAAAAATTTAGCATTTGAAAATCTTGATTATAAAAGAATGGGAACATGAAGAATTGAAAATTATTGTAATTACAATAAAAAAACATTGACATTACTAATCATCAATCAAATTTTTACTAATTTTCAATGATTTTTCAATAAAATGTGATAAAATATTGTACAAAAGACATTTGTCACATCATCATTATAAAGAACATATTATGATGATTTAATAGTTCAAACAACTATAGTTATATTCTAATATTATTTTGAGAGACATGCGATTCTTAAAACTCGCAATACAGTTATAGATTGTATGTTATAAATCATATGGTACTGTTATTTCAAAAACTAAGCCTTGATTTATTCAATACAATTTATTCAAACTTACGTTCTAGTAAATTAATCATAAGTTTACAATATTATTTATTTTATTAATTATTTTTTATTTATACTTTCACAAAAATAATTATACTGCTACAATTATATTGCTTACTGTAAATTTTATGCACAAAGTTAGAATATAATTAAAATTATTTAAAGAAATTGAATGTGTATAATTCAATTAAAATTATGATTTAATCATATCATGTGTCCATATTAAAAATCATAGCATGACGATGAACCTAGATCCGCTCTGTTAAAGTCAGTAATTGTTATTCTCGTTTTCTATTCGGTAACAAAAGCTTTTTTAAACTCGATGTTCACCACGAGATTTCTCTCTTCCTTTACTTTTTTTATTTCAATATGAAATTAAAAAAAATTTACAGTATTTATTAAGATTTATTTAAAATTGTTTAAATAAATTGTTATTAATGTTAATTTCAAAATGAATATATAATAATTTAAGATATAATATACAATATCTAATATCTATCCTTCGAATAAATATTATATACATATAAATAATATGCATATATTCTATATATGCATCATATATTCTAAATAAATATTATATGCTTATACTTATTTCAAATGAAAGTAAGTAATATGAAAGTAAATTGTATGAAAACTTAAAAAAAAATAAGAATATAATAAGGAAAATAGATTAATGGTTCAAAATAAATTAAATTAAAATTACAATATGATAAATCACGTATATCGAAGAATAAAAGAATTTTTTAATTTTTATCGCTTTAATAATGATCAAAATATAAACTGAACATCAAAAAGACTTTCAGAAAATTCTACAAGATCTAACTATTCTCCCTTAAAAAATAACATCATGTGTTAAACTTTTATTAACAATTATCAATGTTTACTTTTTTAATAAAATATAATCAAAAAAAAATTAATAATATTACTAACTAACGAATCATTATTAATGACATTAAAAAACTTATTAAAGACTATTAAAAATCAATAAAAAATTAAAAAGAAATAAGGAATGCATCTTATTATTATTATTATTAATATAAAAATAAAATATAATTATAATTATATAATTATGTGTATATATATATATTATAGTAAAACAGAATAATAAAAGATTAAATAAGAACGTTATTTTTTAACTTGCTATATAACAAATATTTTCGAAATAAATTATATCCAAAGAAACATGCAGAAAAGAAACATTGATTTAATTTTTCTTTACTGTTTCAAGTTAATAAACCAATCAAGCATTAAAATTACTAATATAAACTATTAATTCTGATATTAATACAACTTATATACATAATATTATAATATTGCTAATATGATTACATAATATTATAATATAATCTTAATTTTATAAAAAATAAATTATAAATTTTAATATTATTAAAATTTTTATATCTTAAAGGAAAGGATTATTTTTTAATTCTTGTTAAAAATGAGAATTTCATTTTATATTAATAAATTATCAATTTTAATTCGGAACAAACAAAAAATGTATCGATCGTTTCAATACGTTGATTCAATAATAATCAATCAATCGCGCACGAGTGAACAGAAATTCTGAAAATAAGAATCAGAGAGAAAAACGACAAGCAAAAAACATGTAATAGGTAAAATTCACTTCAAAGCGATCATTTTCACTTCCGTGGAAAAGAAAAGGGAAAGTGTGCATGTTTTGAAATAAGAAACTACTTTGCCGAACGTGAGTAACATAAAAAAATCAATTATTTATGCATATGATCCTTTGAAATATGCTCTGATGAAAATAATTTTCATTCCATAAAAATAATAAATCATCGAATATATTCTAAAATATAAATTGGCAAATAATTTCTATCAAATTAATTATTATTCT